GTACAGATTTTTTTTACATTTAATCGAATTCAATTAAAAATGTAATAAGGTTTAAATATTCTTTCATTGGCACACTGTCACTACTTTATGCTCACCATTTTATTAATGATCTTTAATTTCTTTTGTTTAAAGTAAATTGTATGCTTGTGTTCTATTGCAGTTTATTTCCTTTTTCCATTTCGGGTATCTTTACGTAGCAGAATAGTGCTCCAAAGGTGCATTAGCATTAACATGCTTTCTCTAGTTAAGCGAATTACACACCGGTTATTTGCTGTTAGCCTAGCATAGCTTAGCCATCAACACACACCAGCGGCCGGTTCATTCAAAAGATTGCAGAGTGTGGTGCGTGTGTGGCGGGGGACGTCCATTAACAGCCAGCTCAATAAAAAAATCCCCTCACACCCACACACAAGCACACACCTGAGGGCTAAGTGTGTATTGCAGTTTAGCTCGTCTTAACTCAGTGATGATGGGATCTACACTGCTACTATTGCCCTTATACTCCACACAAAACGCGCCGCGCCCACAACACGCACACAAAAAGACGTGCGCACACAACCAACACACACTAGTAAAAAGATGCTAAGCAAAACAATAGTAATGACCGACAAGGTAGAAATGACTCCGAACCGTCCTGCACTCAACAACAATTAACTACCAATTTTTTTTGATTAATTATTAATCCCCAATTTTTAGTTTAAAAATAATTTCTTCTTCTAAACCCAGAGACAGTGCCCAAAAGTCTCTTAACAAGCATGATTAATGTCACTTGCAATGTGTCTTCATTGCGTTAAGGTCAGGGTCAAAACTAATATTAAAATGTATACAATTATTGTGATTTAAATCAGTGGGTGGCTTTCTTAGTATTGTCAAGACGAGCGTATCAATAACCGAAGTAACCCACTCCAAAGTCGAACATTTGTTTAAAAAAACAGTTTTTATCTAAACGACATGCTTTCATCAGTTTTGTTGGCGTAATCGCAAATACTGATAAACTCTCCTGCCTGCTGCAAACTAAATCTTTTTTTCTCCATTATTATAGATAGAGCTTACGTCTAAAATCTGAAATTCAGAGAAGCATTATGTAATATTATTCAGTACAAACAAGGTTCTCTAAACATGCGTAAGAAGTAGAACGATAAAGATACAATATCAGCGAGAGAACTTGTCATAATTTAATGAATTACACATCAACAATATTGAAACAATGCTGATCACCCACTCTTCACTGACTGGGATTTTTTTTTGGCAAAGAGTACCATCCGGACAAGTTCAACACAACACACACACAACACACACACACACACACAACACCACAACACACACACACACACACACTACACACACACACACACACACACACACACCACACCACACACACACACCACAACACACACACACACACACACACACACACAACACCACAACACACACACGACACACACAACACACAGCCACACACACCACGCACACGACACGACAACACCACACACCACACACAAACACTAGATGCCGCCCGCCCCCTATGTGCCAATCCCCCCATTGATCCACACGCGCTGGCGACACGGCAATACATGTTCAGTAAGTGATGGCATTTCGAATCCCTTCGGGGACACAAATCTTGTTGATTCCGTTCACTAAGATTCGTTCACTGATCGTTCACTGATTCGTTCAACGGTTCGCGAAGACTTCTGTGATTTGCACGTCCGTATGCGAACGATACTTCATCCGCTTTGTGGGTAGTTGTCTAACTGAGTCCAAACTCTGTTGTGATGGAACATCCCAGTTATTTCGGAGGGGCCTAACGGGACCCGCCCTTAAAGAAAAGGGGATAGAGAAAGAACTGCAGGGAACATTCTGAAACTGTTTCCGCCGTTCTTTTAAGTTCGTCGTCGCGACAGCTTCGTTTAGCTTTTGGCGGAAGGCGGTCGACTCAAACAAACAAATCGTTTTGTGGGAGGAAGCAGTTCATCTCGTTCACTTCAAAGATTCGTTCAAAAAGAACGAATCGTTCGCGTACGACCCATCACTAATGTTCAGTGTCTGTTCTTTGTATATTGACTGCAGTTGTTCATGTATACCAGTAGTCTGATACAATATGTACCGTTTGCAAGCGTGTTAAATGAAATTTGGTGATGATTCATGTTTTTTGTGTTAATGTAATAGCAGTTAAAACAGGACCGGTCAAATTTGAACACCAAAGTAAGGGGGGAACACGAAGACAATAGGAGGGTTAAATGACTATACTGTATATAATGAAGCACAAGCATAATGAAACTCACAATATGCATGCACACATGACCCGAAATCGAGCCTCCAGACCAACAAGTGTTGTTTGAACCTGAGCGAGCTTCTCGTTAATCGACACCTTCAACAAACAC